AAACACAGTGACTGAGAGAACTCGCTTCGATTTACCGTAGTGTCTTGCATTATTAGCCACCAGAAATCACTGTTTACAAACTCACACTTCCTCCCCAGAGAACTCAACCGAAATAAATCTTTCTGGAGCTTAAATATATTGACATCTAAATAAGTAAAATGAAATAATGGATAACCGAAGACATATAAACAGATATTTATTTTGCTCTTTGAGCATTAATTTCATTTTTAAAAACATAACAAGACATAAATATAAAGCAGAATACACGTATATTCCCCAAAGTAATGAAAACACCAGAAAATTTCAGAAAAAGAATTACACTAAAAAGCTCCAAAGTCCTGTCTGTGATACCGGAAATGATATTCTGTGATACCGGAAATGTGACTCTTATATTAGCGTTGTCACTGTGAGCCGAACGAGATTAAGGATTAGGGAAAGAGTATAAAGAAAAAAGAATATTATGGAAAGGATAAATCGCATCGGCATTCTATACATACGCACATACACAGACATGTACATGTACACATAAATACACACACTCCCAAATAATAAAAATTAACGCAACACCAATAAATAGAGCACAAAAAAATGAATCAATTAAATTATTAAACTAGTATAAAATAAACGAAAATGAGAAAATCGTCAGTCAATTTCTAATAGCATCTTGTTATCAAACGATACCAAAAAAGTATGTCTACGAAACTTTGGAATCAGGGAGCTGAATATAACTACAATCAGTGTCAAATGTTGTATGTGTATTAAACATATATATATATAGAGAGAGATAGATAGATAGATAGATAGATAGATAGATAGATAGATATACAGTAGGCCGATGAAAGAATTTCGAGAAAGAAAAAAATGATATTGATAACAGGAATAATAATATTTATTGTATATTAGAATGGCTTTTGAGCAAATGGGAGCATTTATTTTGTATTACGTAATCATTATATAAAAAAGTAAATATATTACATAATGAAAAACAAATTTTACAAAAATGTAAATTATTTCGGTGAATCTGATACAGAATTGAGACTTCGGCTTAATAACCATAAACGAGACGAAAAATAAAAATAAAAATTATGAGACGTAAACACCAATTATCACCGCACTGAACATTCCAACCAACGGCGCCATAGCCTTGTGACCGTTACAGGCGTCTTTTTAACGTCTCCATTTAAAGGCCAAGAACGCTGAGAATCCGAGTTAAAATACAACTTTTTAAATTCATACCTTCTAGTTTTAAATATGAATTTAGGCATACTCAATCAATACATTTTCCACAAAATCTACCTACAACCCCAACCATGGCAAACAACTAGTCCCAAAAACTGCGAATGTCTTCATTAATATAACACATGCGGAAACATATTCTGCCAGAAAAAAGAAAAAAGTCTCATTTCATTTTTTATTTTTCGTCTCGCTGATAAACGATACAGGCCTGTCCGAAATTTTTGATGTTTTCTTCAGGGCAGTCATTATCAATAATCATTATGGTGCCTGTATGTTAGGTCGAATGCATTTGTTTACATCCTGGTTTTCTTTGGGAAGCTGAACATTTTGACATGGTCTAGCGTGACGTCATGTGTAACGACTACTGGGAACGAGGCTACACAAAAAGGATGCGATCAATTTGTTTTATTTTATTCTATTTTCCATTATTTTTTAATACTTATCCAATATATGCGCAAATAAATAATATCATATGCACTTCAAAATACCGTCTCTTTTGTTAACAGCTACTAAATTTTAAAGTCTTTCCTTGCATTCGGAGCTGCAGAGTATTTTGGTTTTATCCACATATATTTGTTCCATGTTGATATTTATATTTTGTTCGTTCTTGGTGTGCTGATGTATGTGTGCTGGGATTGCACTGAGTTTCGACAGGTGACAAGTCAATCTGCTAGAGAGTGCGGTTCGATGTAAGTATTTAATTCTGTTTTTTATTATCGAATTTATTTAATCTCCCTACTACATATATCTGTCTACCTCCCCAGACGAAACTCTGCCCTTCGGCATAGCCTCGTCCGGGTTCCTCTTTGTCCGAAGGCAGAGAGTTCGACTGTCGTCCGACATCAACTAGTATTTAGTCACCCCCCACAAGGATATCATGTGGCACAAGGCCGGTTTAACGTGCGATCTCCGAGCCCGTGGGCTCGGCCAAAAATATACCTTTTTTACCTCCCCGAACGAGACTCTGCCCTTTCGCGTAGCCTCGTTCAGGTTCCTCCACGCCCGAGGGAAGAGAGTTCCACCGTTCAGCCGGTCGTCTGACATCGACTGAATATTTATTGTATCGAAAAATACAATTGTGGCACAAGGCCTGAAAAGGGGAGGGGTTGAGGCTGGTCGTCACTAACTATCCTATACCTAGCTAATCAGATTCACGACCCATTCACTCATTACAATTTGCCCACTCACCACAAGAACTCATTCATCACCAATCAATCCTCCTTACACCATAATACCACATCCTCACAAGGAGGGACCTACAAAACGCGCCCCATGCCATTCGTCTGACATCGACTGACCGTCGTTTCTCTTACTACCCCTACTTATATTAGGTGGGATAGTCTATTAAGTATAGAATAGGT